CACACACACACACACACACACACACACACACTCACACACACACATAAACACACGCACAGATACACATACGCAGACAGGCAATAACAAACGTTGGCACCCATGCGTGTGTTTTAAAGTTTTAGTAAGAGTTTCACGGCACTAGCAAACACAGGTAAGGTCATAAAAGTGCCGAAGATTAGAAGTCTTGCAAGATAGCAATGAACAGACAAAATGGAGGAGAGATCGGGACGATCAATATTTGATAGAAAAGAGGAGGCGAACCACAGCAGAGCACCCGCCAACCACGCAAAATTAATAATGATGTGTTGAACAAATACAACACGCCAAGTTGAAGAGAAAACACATTTTTATAAACGAACGCACGAGTGAAGAATGTAAAAGCACACATTTTCAAAACGCTGGTCGAGTTATGAAAGGAACACAAATCACAATTAAAAAGCAAAAAGCTGAACGCCTTCCATACAAACTACGACAGGTAGACAATACAAGCCGTCTATATCAAGCGAGAATATTAATTTCCTTTTGCGGGGACAATATTGCCTTTTGAGTGAGCCCATCTTGAAGAATAAACCCCTTTGTCCATCGGTTCAATGCCGGCCTACAAATTGAACATTAGGCCCTAGACAAAACAAGACACGGGCTATCTGGCATCCATATCTATCCATATCTACAAAGGCACATTAGTTCCCTTAAAAATGTTGCTCCCCTTTGGGATTTTCTGTGCTTCTGCCGCAATTTTCTCTGAAGCGCTATATTGATATATACTGTACTGGACATGGGTTTCCATTTAGATGTCTCGTCTCGTCTTGTCTTTACTGTCTCGCCGAACCCCCCGGCGTATATAGGGGTGTCTCAGAACTCATGCCAGTATAGACGTATCTCGTTTTTATTGAAGAATTAGACAGACAGACAAACATCCATCCATAAGCATACACATACTTACATAGATACACGCATACATTACAAACAGATACATGCGTACATACACATACATACATATATTGAGTGTCTGTCTGTCTGTCTGTCTGTCTGTCTGTCTGTCTGTCTGTCTGTCTGTCTGTCTGTTTGTCTGTTTGTCTGTCTATCTGTCTGTCTGTCTGTCGTCTGTCTGTCAGTCTGCCTGTCTCTTTCATTTCCTGCACCTCCTTCTACATCCATTGCTGCCTCTCGTTCCCCTCCCCCCTCTTACTCTTGCATTTTTCCGCCTTATCTCCTTTTCTATGTCCTCTCTAAAGAAACATTCCCTCTTCTCCCCGTAACTCCATTGATCCATTTTTTGTGTAATCGCATCCCAACCGGAAACCAGTGATGCATTTCTCTGTAACTCATTTTCTCCCCACCGTTTCATAATGCTCATGATCTATCTGAGTCTTTGCACTCCTATCCCATTTTCTTTCTCTTTCGTCGATCGTATAACACCCAGCCATGCTCCATATTCCTAAACCAAACACAGACACAAACATGCCCAATGCCTCTGCCTCTCTCTCTCTCTC